TCCTGTTCGGACCCTTCGCATTCTTCACTCGCCGGCTTCCGAAGACTTAAGAACAAATGGAATTGGGGCTGGGGGCTAACACTAAACCAGCATTTCACCAAACGCGAGTCTATAGATGAGCACAGACATTTGCGCGCCAATGAAGAAGGATATTGTCTAGATGATCTCGGGCTCCTAACAGGGACGCACGGGGTTCAATTCCTGCGACAGGGAAGCATCTCATCTCATTTTCCTTCACATCAGCATACTCAAGCCATTGAGACACCGAACCAGCTCAAGATTCCTGACCAAGGAAATGACCACAAGTGGGAATACCGCAACCCGTTCAGTGCCCCCAGCCACATCTCAATCACCTCCACTCTTTAGCAGCGCCCTGTACCACAAGATAATCACAAAGCGACGCGCGTGCGATACAGATCAGCCGTCGGCCCCTGGCAAATAATCCAGTCGACGTCCCCCGCCGCATCCCAACGAGATTGCACATATACGCAATACGCGGCGGCGCACCGCACCACCGCCCATTCATCACCCCTCGGATCACGGCACGTGACTCAGCGACAGGGGCGCCGCGGCAGCCGGCCGGCCTGGTTCTCGTTTCAAAATCAACATCAATTATTCGCGGCTCATCGCGCGACGGTAATCAGCGTCGTCGCCGACGTCGACCGCGAGTGGCCGCGTCGTGGTCGACGACGTCCGCGGGGACGGTCGCCGGCGGCCGGGCGGGTGGGGCGGAGGCACGCGCCGCGCCGGCGGGCGCCAGTCTAGTGGTAACATGGTACTTGGTGTCATTGGCGAAACCACACAAGTCTGGGCTGCGCTTGCGTCGCTGAGAAACAGCGTTGACAATGGTCAAATTGATCACATTGATAAAGTCAAAATGTTCTATTTTCGCAGGCACCGTCCTTCAGCATCTTTAGCAATAACCATTACCGAGATGCCTGTCAGCCATGTTCTAATTATTTCAGTCGTACGTATTTATCTCCCCCATATCGCGATGGACATGTTTTGAAACCGCATCTGCCGAGATAAGAGAACTTCTATCACTTGATCCAAAGTGCACATTACAGTGTGTAGCGTCTGATATGGATTACTCGCCCTTGCCTTGCGTCGCACTGACGTATTTGAAAACGTAGCTGCGTTGTCTATCAGCTAAAATTGTCATTGCCCATTGTATTAAAAATTAAGCTTTGCCTCGTCTACCTGATCCTGGGGACTTTTCACTCCGGATCTCTCTCTCTCTCTCTCTCTCTCTCTCTCTCTCTCGGAGCGGATCTCTCCAGCCCAAGTTGTTCTCTTCCCTGGAACCGAACCAAAGTAAATCCGTCAGCAACGAACACACATTTCTTGTCGCAGCTAGCTTATAGAAAGGAAACATTTTGTCTTTTGGAATCGTCCACATTGAGGAGTATTGATCTGCTTCCCGCTCTCGACTCCTGTCATTTGTTCTGTCTTTTCTCTCCGAACGCTGCAATATTAAAATGCACAATAAATCTCTCCTTTGATGTTTGTCGACATCTCCCGCTTTTTTCGTGCATCTTTCAAGAGAACCAAATAGAAGGGAAAATTGGTTTAGCATGGCTAGCATATGTTTGATACAAATAGTGTCGAGAAAATGCTAGTAAAACCAGAACCGATGTCTGTCTTTTAGAAGCCCTTTCTCCCACGCAGCCTTCTAAAATGCTCAAATCATTTAACCTTGCGCAATTAATGAAACTCGCTCCCAAAATTGACGAATACCACAGTTTGTGCCTCAATATCTCCTAAGTAAAGGTGCAACAGCTCCAAAAAAGACACACCACACCCCTTGTATCAGCGCCATTAACCTTCTAAAAGAGTCGGTGACGCGTCCGGGGCCGGCTCAGCTGGCCGGCCTCTGCTCGCCAGTCGCCATCGACCGCGGGCGGCCGCCCCGATCGCGGCACTTCCGCAGGCCGCGGCGGGCGCCCGCCGTCGGAAGCCCCGCCGGATGCGACTCGGGGACTGTGTCAGTTCGATCCTATCTGGCATTCGCGCCACGCCCAGCGCGCCTGGCACTTCTCGCACCAGATTTCTATTAGATAAGCAGGTTTTCTTGGCAGGAAGCCGCAGCCCAGTTTTAGCGTCGGGATAGATAAGATTCCGCCCCGTAGATGTCACTAGCATCGTACGCCTGTCCGTGCAGCCTGCCCCGCAGTACACTTTACTTCGGAGAGCAAAAGCAAGCTTAGTGTCGCACACTTTGTAAGCTTCAATGCGCGCGGCATCCAACACGCATGAGCGTCGACCTTTTGCTCACACGACCTTTAGCAAACGGCATTGACATGTCCTTGGTTCCCCGGAAGAAATTCACGGACGTGCGTTTCACATGGCGCGATCAGGAAACAATGGCGCTAATTGATTACAACCTCGCAATCTTGAAGCCGCGCGAGCAAAAGTACAGGCCCTCATATAAAGCCCCTCTGCGGGGCATTCGAAAACGATCACATACTGCGGACAAGGATATTGCATTCAGCGCCATTTGCCGAGCTCCAGGATAAAGCCGATTACTGCACCTGATTGGTTTTAATTCTCGGCTAGTGTTTGGACAATCAGCCCTATCTCAGAGGTGATTGGTGCCGGGGACGCGGAGCCTGGACCGAAATCTAATACGAAATCCGTGAATCATCCTCTCTTCAGCGCGGGGCAATTCTCATAAAAGCCAATCTGACGCCCCTCGCTCACCGCAGGCCGCATCGGAGGCGATTCATCCAACGCCTGTCCGCGCCGAGAGAAAAAGGAACGAACACAAAGTGAAACCCAGCAATAATAGATTGAGTATGGCGTCACCAGTAGATAAAGGTGAGGAAATGGCAGTGCGAGCTCGGTTCGTGTCAGCGCACCCAATGCTCTAAGGCTTACTACAACCTTGTCAATCGGCCGTGTGCACAATGTGTGGATCTGCCTTTATTGTAGTTTACCGTAACCGTCTTAACGCAAGACCATGCAGAAGGACGGCATAACCTGAGGTGAAATCACGGCTGTCGGCGAAAGTCGAACGCGGTGTATCGCGGCTCCGGCTGACAGACAGCGGGCCCGTCGCCACCTGCACTCACCGGATGACGCGTTAGGTGTCATAGCGGGCGCAGCAAGGGCCGAACCACTAGGCCCTTAGCGTGATCTCAGAACGTGATAGCTGCTGGTTTATATCGTCATAAGGTGAGCGTAGTCAATTGTACACTGCCGGCAGCGTGGGCACGCATCCGACTTAGTTCATAATCATCCCATGGTCATCCCTAAATTAAACCAAATACAAGTTTCAGAAAAGCACAAAATGAATGCATATTTGATGTTTGACAAGAGGCTTATGATCGGAAAGTACCTAAGATGGGTGCCGGGCGAGAGATGCTACTGTGTGACATGCGCTGACATCCTTCCAACTTTCCGATTCTGTTCGACGGCAAGGGACGGTACTTCATTCTACAGAAAGTAATATCCTTCACCTGTTATGTTGCCTATTGAATGTAACGTTTCCAACACATCATGGACATGTTACTGGCGACACCTACCACGAAAAGACACAATGAATATCACACATTCCGAGTGTGACACTGTCCGCGTGTATGCTGTTAATACTGAAATATTATTGATCGCTTTCTCAAACCTATGCAGCGGCCAGATGAACTTGATGAACTTGGTTCTTATGCTGAAAACACTATAGTCACATATTTCGACGCCATACTCCTTATAACATGAAGGAATGTTTCCTTCTCATATTTTGTACCATAACCAGCTGAAGATAATCTCCCCCCACATTCACTACCAATACCAATGCTTCCTGGTTCCCGTAGAGCTTTATAATTTACCTTTATGGCAGTAAGGGTCATAGGCCAAAGGCACGTGTTTTGCGCGCTGCCAACAGCGTACCAGTTAATTTCACGTATGCCGCCATGGTACGATGACCACTGTCGTACATGTTTTCCACAGGAGCGTAAATTGTGTCTTATTTACTTCATGGTCGCTTCATCATGAAAACATCGACAGAACGGCCAAGACCGCGTGCGAGAAATGCACTTATGCTGCATGTACGCGCTGTTGTTTAATTGAACGAGTGTGAATTATACTATTGGACATCCTGGATCAGATTCTCGGTACACGGAACAGAAAAAGCTCCGGGCACACTGAGACAACTGCTAGCCCCGCGCCAAGCGTGAATGGTTTAGCGAAAGTTTTCACTGGGGTTGTCAACTGCATAGTTAGCCTTCGTGAGAAGAACGAAAACAAGAGCTGTTCAACGATCCCACAAAACCAGACATACATTTCCTTACCTCGCAGCACTAGCTACCAGCAGGTACGAAAGCGCACGCGAGACATCGATGGCACGCCACCTGACCTCCATAATCCGCGTGCCGCATCCCGCTAATAAGGCCTGGGCGTTACGTGCGGGTAGCCTGCCTCCGACCCGGCGGAGCGCGCCTCGGGCCGCGGAACATTATCGCAATCCATTTGTCCTCACGGAGCGGCTCATCTATTAGCATAGATTACCTCGGCCGTGTCTATACGTCGATCGACGCTGGCGCAACGACAGCGCTCACTTGACCTACCCACCGCGCGCGCCGCCGCGTCGGCACCGTCGGCGCCGCGTCGGCCGCGATGCCCGGCGGCAGTAGCCCGTCGACGGCGGCGGCGATGGCAGCGAGCGCGGCCGGCGGGCGGCGGGCGGCGCGCGCGCCCCGACCGTGACCGGCCGCGCCCGACCCCGCCTGACCCGGTGTGACCTGACCCCGCGCGAGCGCCGGCGCCCGCAGGCCACCGGCGATGAAGCTACGCGTGGTGCGGACGTACACATCGTGGCCGGTGTCGGCCGTGTGGACGACCGTGTCAGTGGCGGTGGCCGTGCTCGCCGCCTACAGCTTCCTGCAGCCGGCCTGGTTCCTGCGCGGCGGCCGGCGGCCGGAGCTGACCTTCGGCGCGCTGGCCGTGTGCCGGCTGAACGGCACAGCAGCGCGCTGCGCGCCGCACGGCCCGGCCGGCTCGGTCGTCTGGCAGGTGACGGCCGTGCTCTGCGGCGGCGGCTGCGTCATGCTGGCCGTCGGCGCGCTCGCGTCACTGGTGCACGGCTTCCTCAGCACGCACCGCTGGCGGCGGCGCGCCTCCGTCATCGCCGCCTACATCCAGGCGACGGCAGGTACGGCAGATCGACCGGCCTCCGGGCCGCCCGTCCCCGCCCGCCCCCGCCCGCCCCGCCTGCTGTCCGCCCGCCGTCTGTCGGCACGGCAAGGTCAGCGGGTCGCAGCCCGGGCCACAAATTGCCGCCGCTGCTCTCACACAGATTGCGGGATGGCGCGCGTGTCGTGCCATAGAGAATTGCTGTGCTGGGGTAAATAGTGCAGCTACAAATGAGCCACATCGCCGGTGTGCCATAGATTGCATGTGGTGACAACAATATAGATAGGCATTGCCAAACACTGCCTGGTACCGAAATGAATGCCGATTAGCACTAGGCAATGCCTGCTCTACTAGACAGGTGCATGCTGGGTTGCAGGCGTCCTTTAGCTCAAGAGGTAGTGACCGAAGAAGAGAGCTTCTCCGTGAAATAAGAACGGATTCCACTAAAATCTCATTTAATGTAACAGCCTGACATGTTTGTTCCCCGACTTGTGTTAACCTTATGCGATGCGTACACGAAATACGGAAATTCGCTGAGCTGAATTGATCGTTATATCTGTAGCCGCTTGTTACCGGACTCACCCCATTTACGGCGCCGTCATGACTCATTTCTCCACTTTCGTAAAATTGCCGTTCGGTTAACAGCCCCTCGAGTGCGGTGGCCGTGACCAGATCAAGGTCGGTCGGAAATGCGACACTGTCACCGCAGAGCGCTGGTGGCTGCGGTGTCTTGGCAGTCGCCCCGACACGTTGCGTGGATGACGTCACGCCGACGTCCTATCGAGGTATGCAGCGCTCGCGCCGGCGTGCGTCCTATGAATATTCAGCGGGTTCCGGTGCGCCTTTTGCTCAACCACGCGACTCGCGAAACTGTTTGGAGTTCGGCGCAAACAAACTGCGGCCGCACCGTTTGTTTTTCTCACCAACACCAGATTAATTACACTGTCTTCGCCGGCGATGTGACCCATTTTGCTTGCGTCGGGTGAATTATGATGAAATGGCGAGAAGATGCCGAGAGACGCAAGCCCATCGTATTGACGTATTCATGGGTCGTGGCGTCTTGCCTGGTTGAAGGCACGCTACCACATTGCATATTATCAGAACTAATTGGTCTAGAACGGCCGGCATGGAAAAGCTTTTCCTAGCATCATCCACGATATCCGCGGTTCGATAACGACATTGGCAGGCCGAAGCTCGCTCAGTCTGCCACAACAAACATGATCGCCGGGCTGCACAGTGGGCTTTTCGCTTTTTGTGCAGGGCGAAAGCTATCTGCGACAATCCGAGACAAGACAATGCGCAGGTTCACCGCCATCACGCTGCGTCTGAGTTAGCGGAGACTTCCCTGGCGCCCAGCAAAGTTGGCGAGGATACAGGGTCGTTTTAAGACCAGGCTCAACTGCGGCTTATCAGGCGTCGGCAATCACCGCGCCGCCTCACGTGAGAGGGGTCAACTGGCGTCGAAGGCCGCCTCGGCTCGGTCTTGGCACGCGACCCGGCGTGTAAACAGAGCCAGAGCAGCCACAATGTACGATCTCCGAGGATCTGAATAATCGATAACGGCTTGGCGCTCTCTCTCTCTAGTTTATTCAGTAATGAATACTGATAGGTGGAGACTAACAAAAGAGCGACACCATCCTAAATCATTAAGATGATGGTTATGATCATAACTGATTAGTTTTGCTTGGCTTTTGCCCCGCACAAGTATCGCTACTTTGCACTGGAGCTACGGGTGCATTTTTAAGCAGGTGACGGGTGAGCCCATTAGCACCAGTGACTCTTCACGGCTGAAGGCTTGCTTAAAGCTTCTCGTCGCAGGGAGGTGAATCAACTCTTGGAGATCGAGGCTAGGTTTACATTGCCTCTCAGATGGACTGGCTGGCCCCCGTAGGGTAGAGGCAGAGTTAGTAGAGAGCAGAGAGGTAGTTGAAGGCTATTGGAGAGCTAGTAGAGAGAAGCGTAATGGTTTTACAGAAGAAGTCCTAGCTAGGAGAAAATCTGGTTGTACTCAATTCTCAGAGGAGCTGTACATCAGCAGAGCGATGATGCCTTTAACAAGAATAAAGCTCGAAGTCCATGTGTGCTCGTTCGTGGTACATGCAATATCGGACGTTAAAATCAGTTTTAACGATGTTCCGTCGAACCAGTCTATCCAATGCCATGCCAGGTTTCAAGCTAGCTTTCGAGAATGCACGACACTTGTTTTGCTGACGTCATTTCGTGGTATGCAGTGATGTACTTCATACTGTGCTTCAGGCTATCGACTGATTTGAAAACGTGTGCGGTCAAAAGAGGTATCGGCTTATATGAAGTTAACGAAAACATAACAACGTCAGAATTAACCATGCTCCCATTTGCCCCCTGGCGCTGATAGATTGGTTTCTACTAAACGGCTGTGGCATTCCCCGCAGCAAAGAGATCGCGGCAAAGTCTGCGAGCCAAAACAGGCTGACCAGTGACTAGTATGGCTCAAGGATGGCCAGCGGCTTGCATAAATACGTGCCTGTGTGTATACACCTTTGCAGACACAAGCATCCCACAAAGCATACAGTGCTCCAGGGAAGTGATATTCGTCCTCTCATGCTGTGGGTGATTTGACCTGTCAGCATAGCATACACACAAGTAGGCGAATATATTCCGAGTATTTTCTGTGTCTTGCCAAACAAGGCTTACCAAACAACGAAAACTGAATGAATAGCCCCATTCTCATCAACGCGTATCTGCGTCTAATTTTTCAACGTGGCGTATGCTCGCGATATCAAATGCTTACCAGATTCAGAGGAAGCCGGCATCACTTAAGCCGGGACACAGACTTTGATGACCCCTAAGTTCTTCAAGTTCTTAAGGACGGCAAGTGTGTAGATTCCAGCAACAAGACACACCGTGACGAAACCGTTCACTACGATGACTCTTGCTTCTCAGAAGACCATTACAATATACCAATGGCCCTCCGTGGCACCCGGCACGAAGAGCCACATCAAACCTCAATCCAATATGCGCATTAGGCACATCGGTCATCTCCATACCATGCAGCGGCCAGCACGCAAACTACACAGACACCAAAGTGGCGCCAGGCCGTTACGCAGCGGTTCAATAGGCAACGCACGTTAGCTGCGTTGAGCAGGGCTGAATCAGAATCGACTACGCCGGCAAACTATGCTCTTGTGTTCTGCCTCAGTCATCCGCCCGAGCGTGCCTCAGTCATCCCCCGAGCGTGCCTCAGCCATCTGCCCGAGCAAGCCTTAGTCATCCATCCGAGCGTGCCTCGGCCATGCGTTGAGTGTGCCTCAGCCATCCCCCCGAGTGTGCCTCAACCATTCGCCCGAGCGTGCCTCAGCCATCCGCCCGAGCGTGCCACAGCCATCCCCCCGAGCGTGCCTCAGCCATCCGCCCGAGCGAGCCTTAGTCATCCACCCAAGCGTGCCTCGGCCATGCGTCCGGGTGTGCCTCAGCCATCCCCCAAGCGTGTCTCAGCCATTCGCCCGAGCGTGCCTCAGCCATCCCCCCAAACGTGCCTCAGCCATCCGCTCGAGCGTGCCTTAGCCATCCGCCCGAGCGTGCCGCAGCTCGACAAACGGAGCTATTCCAGCCCCTGTCGTGCTGCACCAGTGCCTCCGCCCACCTCCGCCCACCAGTGCGTCCGCTGGTGTACATTCCGTCCGGCTGTGCTGCAGTGGTGCCGACTGCTGATCTGCACCCTGGTGCCGACTGCTGATCTGCACCCTGGTGCCGGCTATTGATCCGCACCCCGTACTGCTGTGTTTAGGCCGTGACCTCTGCAGACCTCCATCCCATGCCGCTGTCACGTTGGTGTCGCCTAATGACCAGAGCCCAATATCATCGTGCTGCATCGGTATCGCCTGATGACGTTGCAGTGATATCGCTGCTGACTCGCACCCGTCCCGCTGGGTTGCAATGACACCATTAGCTGTCCTGCATCCCACAGACAGTGATGCAATGGCACCAGCTGCTGACCTGCAAATACCCCGCTGTGTTGCAGTGGTGCCGTCGCTGCTGGGCGTGATCCTGTACCCGCTGGGGTTGGGGTGCTCGTTCGTGCGAACCGAGTGCGGCCCCAGTTCCACCGTCTACAGTCCCGGTCACTGCGAGATCGCCTGGGGCCTGGTGCTCTTCATCTTTACTCTGCTCGTCAGCATCTACTGCCCCATCCTGGCGCGCTTCACCGTCGTCAAGGAGTACATGCCCGAGTACTATTCCAACCTGAACTATTTGTAGTGCGGCCGTGTCATTCATCTGAGCAGCTCGCGCTGTTTGTGAGTTGCGCACGCCGGGCACGGACGCTAATCCTATTCGTGTGTTCATAAATCGGTCGGCCTGACTGGGCGCAGGCGCCGGCGGAATTAATTCTCCTGCGACTGCTCGCAAGGCGTGAGAAATGGTTCGAAGGCTGTCGGCAAGTTTTGAAATCTCCGTCGTTAATCGTTTGCGCCGTCTCTGGTTTTTATCCGTGGCTCTGTCGGCCACTGAAGTGGCAGAGAGTGATGGAAGTCGGCTGGCGAGACCGAGATGCGGGGCTTCGCAGGGCGGCCGGCGACCTGCGCCGAGCCAAGGTCGAGAGCGGAATGAGTGTGCTGGTTTGGTGTGGTGATTCGAGGAGCGCGCGGTGGGCTTGCTGTAAGCGTTGCTCACCTGAATGTTTTACACAAGTATTGGTCCTGATTATGACACTAAGTGAGTTGGACGCGTCAAAAGCCAGTGGATTCCACATACTTGTGAGTTCGTGTGTATCATGTACTCTGATGCCAGCTTGCCCCGACTTCTCAAATGTGTTCATGATTGCTGGGCTCTCATCCCTGTGTACATAACAGGCGTGACTTTGTACTTAAGTCAAAGAAGGCCGGCTCTCTGCAATGCGTATGCAATCTGCCGTGCAATATTTGTGCAATTGAGCAGAATAAATGTCCATCGATTGGAAATGGTGGCGGTAGTTTACAGCTGACTGCACAGCTGTTTGGTGTGAATCAGAGCTAATGATCAACTCATCACGCTGTCTGAAGCAGCGCAGAGGCCCTGCTGGGAAGCAGATGTGACGGCAGCCTGATAACTGCCTCTGGTTGGCTGTATATTCGCATGTGTTATGTTTCGCCGGTCGCAACAGACTCATGCTCCTCAATTATCGCTGCTGATCTCTGGATTACCATTCTGCTTGTGACCTTAAACCGTTATGGAAAGCCAGAAGAGTTGATCAGGGACCATGAAGCGTAAACAACTATGGCACAGCCCGATTATCTTGACAGCCGCCGATAATAAAGCTCTCTCGACTGTGAGGTTTCGCAAACTTGGCAGTGCGAAAAGTCAGTGGCTGAAAATATAATTATGCAAACTAGAGAAAATCGACCAGCAATCACAAGTCTTCAACACAAATTGTTTTGCAAGCCAAATTCATTCATCTCAGGGCCAGGTATGATGCCACAAAGCAGATATAGCATAAACAACGCAACCTCCAATACCAATACCGGAATGAAAAGAATACTTAAATGTCGAATCACAAGACTCACGTAGCACGTACCCCCCGAAATACGACGACTACTCCAGAGTGACTGTTACTTTCAGTCAGTCTTGCATTCACCAACGCCTATAAGCCTGTCCCGACATAATTTCTCCATGTTACAAATGACTGCCGCCATCCACGCCTTTAACAAACGACGCAGTTCTGGCCAAGCAGGGGCCCGCCCGCTGGCCGGACAGTGACAGATATAGACAGTTGATTACTGCGACCGCGGCCGATTTGATCGGGCATCGGCCGGGCCGGCGGCCGACCGGCGATATGGGCCCGGTCACTAACGTGACTCCCGGCTGGTTGCCACCACCGCTGACGTCATCACCTATTCATCACGGCCACTTTCGCTGATCAGCCCCGATGACGTCATGCGCAATAACCTGAAGATTACGTCACACCTCCCCGCCGTTTAATTATGCACCCCGACGCGGAACTGCCTGCTGGCCAATCTTCGGTTGGAGTCGCGGCCGTCCCCCTTCGCCATCATCGGTCTTCCCTCTCCCGCCATCTCTTCTCCATTTGCCCCCGGGGCAGCGCTCGGAAAATCACAAAGGCCTGACATGGGGGCTCTGATTGAATCACCTTGAAGGGCGCGATCACGTGACGTCTGATTGTCAGCTGATTACCATGTCCCACGGGGCGGAGACCGGAGTGCCCAGTGCCCTGCAGCTGACAGCGAGCGCGAATAATTCTGTACCATACCTGGCGTCTGAATACGACAGAGCGGCCAGGGCTGGACAGCCAATGAATGCCAAATCAAAGCCGGGCGGTTTTAACGAATGCATGACATGAACAGATCCTATAAATTTTTATCTGCGCATCAAGACTTCGTGGCCATTGCCGCTGAAACCGTACAAAACGGTTTCCAATCAGTCCGCTGGCAGGGAATTTATTCGACCCCGATTCAAAGGATTCCGAGGCCGCAAAATTCCGTCGCCAGGCAAAAACGCTGTCAGAGCCCAGCCGTGATTAGACGTCAGACGACCGCCAGACATGGCTTAAAAGCCATGACCAGCCTGAAAGCGGCATGATTCGATCGACCGCCTGCCGCTCCAGCTCGGTCAGTCTCTGCCGGGTGAGGTGCGCTGTTGCCGACGGACGCCGCCGCGGTCGTGCCTCGCGCTGCACCCTCGGAACCGGCGCGCCGGGAGCGGGGCCGGTGTTTTTCTTCCCGGATCGGGTCCGGCCCGGGGGCAGAATCATGTGATGGCACCGACGCAACGCCCGCCATGGCACTCAGAAGACGTACTGGAATGGAAGACTTCCGACGAGGTTAATGACCCGAGCAGGCTAATAGCCTGCGTCGATGGCGACCGGAGTATTATTCAGCAGCGATGTCAAGCGTCCTCCGCCGCTGCGTCAGCGGAAGGACTATGTGTATCAATTGCGGTCAGAGAATAGCAAATCGCGGGACAAATGCGTGTTCTCGTATGCAAAATTATTCCGAGGAATAGTAGAGCGGAAAGAGTTGGGAGCGTCGCAACCAAGCGCGAGTGATGTATAGGCAGTAAGGATTTATCGCCATCATTTTGAAATAGGTATGCCGCGCTCGGTTCCCTTAGTTAACATTCCGCAACTCCAGTTACTTGCAAGTGTCATTCTAAAACAAACGAGAGCCTTGATGCCTGTTTTTACCATGAACATTTACATGTAGCTTACACCGCAAAGATCTTGCATAATATGGCTGTAGCTCGAAGTGCAATAAGAGAAACGCAAGCTTGCCAATATGAGCTAAACCTCTGCAAACTGCAACTTGGAACCTTGTGCTCGATCTGCAAAATGTTAGCGTGAAGGACTATTAACCAAAATAAGTGTAAGTACATTTTGCTATGAGCCATGCTAAAATCATCACAGATGAAAACACGAGTGAGTTGATAAAAGCCAATTAAATCGAATCCGACGAACATTTAGCCTCACATGATACCACAAGAGTCCGCTACCTGGAATACATGCTGCCATTGTCGCTGTGCATCAGGCAGGACGTATTTATGCAGAACGGGCGTAAACAATGAAATTAATCAATACATCCTGTTTCAAGAGAAACCAAGCCCTTTCACATATAAAACCTGTAAAAAGAGATTACCAAAGCCGAGCTGGATTGCTGCTCACCGACCCCGGCTTTGTTGGCCCTCAACACACACTGAGTTTCGAATACTTTACACCAGCATCCTCGCAGTGGAAGCCACAGTTGCAGCTGCCGACCAGCTGCGTCTCTGCCCCCGTTGTCACGCCGTCTGTGTGTAAATCCTGCCAGACAAAGTCCAGCGCGGCTCCAAATCCGGCCGGTAATGGTCGTATCGTGTCTGTGAGCCGACCGCGCGCCCGATGCCACCGTACCGACGACGGTCGGGGGCGGCGGGGACACGCGGACGGCGGCCGTACGGAGGACAGCGACGGCCGGAGCAGGGATGACGGAGCAGGGACACAGCGAAGGCGGGGCAGGCATGCCGTGAAAGCGACGGCACACCGCCGCGCAGGAAGGTGCGCTGGTGTACTCTACATAGCAATGGAACGCGTAACGCAGAGCTTTCAACAATGCGTCCAGAGATAACTTAGAGCGTGGCTTAATAGTCGTTTGCCGGGTACGCTACGACAGTATGGCAACGCACCGTGAGGTGCAGGGTTGGCAGACCAACAAGACGGCTAGATGCAGTAGATGCAGATGCAGGTGGTCCTTTCGCCTGTATTTCATGCTCGGTCAAGTCACACGTACGTATAACACTGCTAAGCTTGTAAATGCTACAGTAACCACTTGTAAATAGGGCTCCGATGAAGTAATGACGCGGATATCTGGCCGACAACCTTGCAGTAAAATACACAAGAGAGGGCCATGAATATCCGACACTCGTTAGCAATAGTCACAAACTAAGCGAGTTTTTCATGTCTCTTCCCAATGCAAACGTTAATTCCTCGTTACTAATACAAAATGTGATTGTCCAGATGAACAACACCGATTTATTGGGCTTGCGTATGCGGTGGGGAGACTCGCGACATGCTTAAAATTCCACAAATAGTCGGCAAAATGTGGTGGAAGGTGACAGATATAGACAGCATAATTCAAAAGTTTTGACGACAGGCGAGCAGCACGTCGGTCGGGAAAACAGCTGCAAGAGAGGTACGTCTCGAAAGTCCGGCATTGTGATCAGTGCGTTGAAACCAACCCAGCACCCGATCAGCCCACCGCACCGATCCTCATCAATTGTTCGGCGTCTCGCTGATCATGCTCTTCACCTTGGAGACTGCGCTCTTGAGCGAGCGGAGGCTCTTCTTCGATGCGGCGCTCCTGGTGGAGAGGGCGCTGGACTTGCGCGTGGCGGAGGTGCGCGAGGTGACCGAGCCACGTGACCTGGCCGTCAGGTCGCCGCCGGAGACCAGTGACCTCGCCCGCGGCGTCATCTCTTCGGCCCGGACGAACGACGAGTACGTCTTGGGCAGGACGTAGTTGGGCTCGTCGTGGTGCTTATTCTGCTTGAGCTTGCGGTTCAGCTCGTACTCGAGTCGCTCACCCAGCTGGCACATACGCACGTCCAGGGTGAGGATGACGGAGTTCTGCTCCAGGCCGGTCAGCAGAGCCTCGCCGCCGGCCTCGCCCAGCTCGTTGTTGCTGAGGTGTAGCGACAGCAGCGTGGAGTTAAAGGTCAGCATCTCACCCAAGGCCTTGGCCGCCTCCAGGCCAAAGGAGCACATTGACATGATCGCCGTCTGTAGGACGGTGTTCTGCGAAAAGGCGCGGCAAAGCAACACGCCTCCGGCGTCGGACAACTTGTTCATGCTGATATTCAGAAACTTGAGGGTTTGGTGGGAGGCGATGCTGTACGCCAGGCACTCAGTGCCGTCTACACCTATGCTGTTGTTCATAATGTTGAACTCCTCTAAAGCTGAGAGGGACTTGATTAGCTTGGCGATCGCCTTGGCACCTAAGTCTTTAATTTTGTTATGTGAGAGGTCGAGGACCTTCAGGTTTTTGTGTCCGTCTAGGGCATAGAGGAGGGTCAATGCTCGTGGATCATCAAGCAGAGATCGGCGGAGTCGGAAAACGGTCAATTCCGGCTTTTCTTTGAGGGCCTTTCCAAGATCTTCGCAATCTTTCTCCGTTATCTGAAAAAGATTCCAGGCAAATTCATAGCTGCACTCCTTAGCACTATAGGACAAATCAAGCTCTGTTACATTAGCAAGTATCGACAGTATAGTGGTAAACTGGAGACACTGGCAATCTTCTGAGGGCATAAGAGGGTTCTCGTGGTCCTCTTCTTCGTCAATATTATAATAATACAAGTCGACAGGATTTACTTGGTTCTTTTGCCAAAGCTGCTGTATTTTTAGCATGATAACGAAAGGTTGGCAAATCTTCAGCTGTTCAAGAAGTTCATCGAAGTCGTCTTTGCTGGGATGAAATTGCTGAATACAATGTTGGGCATGCCTTTCCAGAAATGCTCGGCGCCAGCTGTTGTCATATTGCTTGATATTAATAGCTTCGTTTTTATCTTCACAACAGCGCATCCAGTAAGACTCTTCAGGCACATTTTTTGCACTTACATTGAGTGGCAAAGTCGTCGGAAGCATGTCTAGCAGAGTTTCACGATCTTTTTCATTCAGTTCGTCCAGAATGGGGTTTTCAGCGAAGTTTTCTGCCAGTGCAGTTATACATTTCATACGAAGTGAGGGTATAAGATCTTTATCCCAATCTTCGTCTTCAGCCCGCATACAGCGTTCCTGCAAGACTTGCTTCTTCTTTGAGTCAGGTGGAAACAAACCCAAATCTGGAAAGGCTGCCATGTTGCGTGCCTGAAATGTTGGCGTATAAAGATTTAAAAAAGTAAATGCAAAAACAGCTGATGAATGTTACCTTTCAGTCCAGCTGTTTACCCTCTCTGCGTCGAACACTGCCCTGCATTGCCACTTCACTGCGAATGAAAGTCAGCGCCCAGACTCGTTGCCATGGTTACAATGCAAAGCGCCACGCCGCGGTAGCGAATTGATCAAACTTTTCCACCCTACTTTGATACCAGCCGAAGTCTGGCCAAAAGCAGTGTAAAGATGGCAATGCACGAGCATCGGGACAGTCATGGTCGCTTTGGGATGTGGCGTTATTATCATACCGATGGCAAAATATTGCAGGCGATTTGGATGTTGCACACATGTATGTCCAAACAATCGACAGATCATTAACCCCAATCATCAGCGATGTTGCCCGGACATCTACGAATATAATGCAGTTCATGCACACAGACAATGCTAAGTGAGAGCCCTAAACTGGACCAGTAGGCGCTCGCTGATACTGACAACATTATTGCTGGTGTCCTGCAGCTCGGAATAATTGTTGAGCGCGCCCATGCTCTTCATGCAATACAGGCTGCATCAGCTGTCATTTACACATGGCTCGATTCCGGTTGAATTCAGAATCGAGTCCAAACTCATGACTTTTGGGGCTGAGTCTTACGTAACACAAGATAGGTCTATCTACATATCGCACTCAAACAAGCATGTTTGACTACCTATAAACCCATACTACTCAATTTGGACCCAAATGAAAATCAAAGCTCAACCTTAGCACGAACCAAGCGGGGCTGGCACTGGAGCAAGATAGGTCTAGGGTAGCAAGTCATATCTATAGTGATCCTTTTACTGAAAGATTTATATACGTTGTCAATGCTGTTCGTGCATAACATAAACATGCTCTAGGGTGTTTTTACAAAAATGCAGCCTGAAGGGTAGCGTCGTGCTGCCATTTGTAATGCTGCTCCTCACAACCAGAGCATTGAGAAAGCAAAAAGCGCACGAAATTCCTGGCTGAAAATTGTAATGCTACATCTTGATGATGTTGGTTTATCATCGCGCATGCAGTAAATTGCTTAAATCAAGCACTTACGATCGTATTACCGCGCCTGGCATTTTAAGTTTTGAATTTCAATCATGATGTATGAGGTTTATTTCTCCCTAAAGAGTCAACGACTTTAGACCACCAGGGACGGTTTACCAAAACCTTTGATGGCCTTTACTACACGAGCCTTTTAGTGGTATCTTATGACTCGCTCGATGTGCGTTATTAAACCGCGTGGTCTTTGATCTATACTTAATAAGCCAGCTCAACCCAGTGGATGAGACATATTCAGATGATGTTTATGAGACGAAATGGTGCTTTGAATAATAATTCCCAGGTGGAAAACTCAGTATGCTTAACTCATTTATGCCAAGTGACTGTTTATAAATAAATAAACGATGCCGGCCATGAATACATACTTTTACGGCGTCGCTGGTGATAGTCATGTCGCAATACTATATTCGGCATGTGTCTTCATTTATTCATGGTATAGTCGAGCGGTTTTTGTCGCAGCCAAGTCACAATTGCGGCGATGGCAACAAAAGAAAGCGTATTAGAATACCACGTAAGATGAAGCTTTAGGGTATTTATTTTTGGCCACAAATATCTTAAAGCTGTTGGCGATCATCGCTTGTTTTCGTGCCTTTCACATGTTTGATTCTACGGGGGATTGTTCAACGAAGCTTCTTGTGCGCTAAAACAAAGGTTGTGGGCAGACTGAATCGTTGCCCCTTCGTGGTAAGACCCAAATGAGTCAGGAAACTTCTTCTATCAATCAAATAGTGGAGCAGTAGGCACCGAGGACACCTGTTCATCATTTATCGGGCAAGATGCTTCACGCGAGCATGCCTCCAGGTGAAGACCGCTGTTCTCAACAGTCGATTTCCCATCGCACTGAAGGCTACAGCCGGTAGTCGGCATCCCCAGCGTCCGGACAGCCGCATCCGATGAAAGCTCTCGGTCCGAGCAGCGCGCACGTGCGCTCCACTCGGGCATCAATCAGACCCAATCACTCGGCCGCCGGTTTTCATCAGTCGCGCAGTAAAGCGGCAACTGTTCCCAACTCGGCACCCGCCGGCCGGCCGTAAAAGGCCGACTGGCCGGCTGGGTGGCCGGCGCCGAGCCGCGGGTGCGGGCGGCGCGGCCCTCGGGACGGTCGATTGGTCGTGACGGCCTGCCAGCGCCCGTTCGAGTCAGCCGGCCGCTGCATCCGACCCCGGGTCAGCCGAGAGGTGCCAGCACCGCCACCGGCCCGCGCTCCGGCCTGCCGACGGGAAGTGTCGGCGCGGCAGAGCGTCGTCGTTACCGGCTGATGTCGGTACTTGTGGTGGCATTGCTGGCAATGATATTCAATTCCTCCTACCAGCAGCCTTAAAATGGCGTCACCCGTCTGCGACAATGGCAGGCACGCGATTTTTGTTAGGGCCAAATAGGATCTTCGTGACAGGCCTCTACGTAAAGAAGCAGGTGGAGGTTGCGATAACATTTTTCTTTTCCATCTAGGTAGCCTATGGGACAATTTAGCTCTCGTAGAAAAGTTTCTGCGGTTAACCCGGAAGCTTCACGGTCGGACGGTGGGGTTATGGCTCACGCATCACACGTTCCCTTGTTTAGCACTGACCCCAGCAATATACGCAATTAAAAGGTTAAGGTTTAATCTTTAAAACAAAATTTTTAATAAAATGCTACGAATCGATGCCATCAAAATTGAGCCCGGCATTGAGCCCCACCTACCTGGGTAGGAATCGGAGTCGACTTAAGATTCTGCCGCGCTATCGAAAGTGAGAGTCAGTATCAACCCCATGCACTGCGCGTGAAAGTATCCTGTAAGAGTTGAGTCGAGTGCAAGTCTGGTTTGAAGGTGTTCTAGGGAGCGGCGTGAAATTAAACAGCCTTTGATCGGCCCTTTTCTACGCTTTTTCGTGATGCCCAGTGACCTGCACTTGCCAAGGTTGAGGCTTGAAGTTGCATGCTTTTCCCTGTGCGCCCCTTTGGCCGGAAATGACTCGACACTGGCCTGTCACCTAGCTTTATCAGGCTCAAATCTCAGCATGTGTTTACCAGCACAGGCCAACAGATTCTTGTAAGAGGGACCGAATTTCTTGTCTGAAATTCGCTGGCCCCGAGCTGCAATAACGAGCAGCCTGGTATCATATTCCGGAAGTAATTGCTTCGAGACTTGATACCGCCGGTCCCGATACACCCGCGGGATATGCAGACCAGACGGGTACCAGCGCCGATTCCGAGTAGAACGGCTCCCGGGGTTGAAACATCTCGGCACAACTCCCCGAACCACTCGTCAAACATATCGAACAATGCCCCGGAGGCGTCTTCCCCGTCCCGTCACATTGGGAACAGCACCGAGCTTTATTCAGAGCGAAGATCCGGTATCTTAGATCCGAACACGCGTTTGAACCGGCGCCCTCAGCAGACCCGTCCGCTCCGGCCGCGTTTCGCCACGCGCCGCAAATTGGCGCCGCCCCCTTAACCGTCGGTAATCCGTTCCAGAGGCGGCCGCGGCTCCCATTAATGGGGGTGTTGTCGTTTTCCGACGGGGCCGCCGCGCCGCCCGCTCGCCACCTCAGCCTTGCCCGCTTAATGGCAAGGGTTTGCTGGCGACGCGTGATTCAGCTCGCTCCCGCGTCCCCCGGGACCCAGCGGGAACAGAGCGCCGGTGATACCACCGCTGGGAGGGGACCAGCGAGGGGGCCGATCGCCCCCTGCGCCGATAACGCCACGGGACGCGCCCACGCCGCTCACCGGATGACGGAAGGCGGCGTGAATAGAGTGAGAAAAACCTTATCAGAGGAGCGCTGAGTGCTCGCGCACGCCCACACGCTATCCAGAAGAGGATCCACACAGGAAAAAAAGCACCGCTCACTGGACATGCGCGTGCGGGGAGGACCCGTACAAGATCGGTATGAATCATGGTCCCATGGGGAGGGGGGGGGGGGGCTTCGGAAGCCAGCGCGTACCACTCTTGGACGGCCATGCAAAAGAAGTCGATGGCCTCATAGCACACAGCCTATCACCTTTAAAACACCAGACCGCGCAAATAGCATGAGTGCTAAGCCGCTCAAGTGTTACTTCCAGGAACAAGTAACTCACATAGGCATCCTCATGTACGCATTAGTGCATTTTGTTGACAGACTCAAAAGCCCCTTGCCTCCCTCCCCTTGGCTACATTTGGTTCACGAGGGAAGAAACGCAATTGAAGTTGGTGAGGGTGGTAGCTGATTGAAGAAGTTGTTGTTCGAAAATCTACACCGATAGAAAGCTGCAACCAATCTCCAGATGGACCTGTTATGTAATCGAAATGTACTTGAGACATTATATATATATATATATATATATATATATATATATACTGCGTATATGCATACGTATATATACGTATATATGTATATATGTATATATTGGGATAAAACTCCGCCTTCCCAGTATTCCATCCACAACTATTTTCATAAAAATAAGCGTATCTCTCGATTTGGGACAAGACATGTTGTGCAGGATGAGTGCTAAGCTGCCGCTGGTGCTTGCTTGTGCCTGTGGTAGCTCCTTGGGACGCGTTGCTTACTAGGTCCAAAAACTGGCAATACATCTGATTGGATGAAAAACACGCTAACAATTTCCACGTTTTCGTTGCAATTTATGCCGTGCTGTATGTTTTGAGCCTAAGTGTCATGGAAGTATTGCAAAAATGTCAGTTAGAATAAATTACAGATGCATCTGGAGGTTGATATGTCTATTCCACACCTATGAAAATTACAAGTTAGTGCGGATGCTCACACCAGCTTCCAAGATGGTATCTCAAGAGATCTCCACACCTCCCATGATGATTATTACCCCTGGGTCAGAGGACTCTTTTATTAAGCTAATTGTACAAGAAAACACTGTAACTTGCTGATTTTGTATAGGATATAAATTTGTTGGCACATTTGCCGCGGCATTGAGCAAGAAAACAACCCAGTAATTCGCGCGTGTTGATATACCGCACAGACATGTTGATGCCCGTAACGAAAGCATTGGAAACCTACCAAATTTTGGATGCTCATTGGT